TGGCTGAACTGGGTAAAGAAGGAAATATATACAATAGGGGACTTGTGGGATACACAAACGGGCAATTGGGCAACGGTCGAAACACTTAAAAGGAAAATGGGCCTGATCAAGAACATGGCTCAAGGCCTGCAAGAGATCCAAGAAGTGATTCCACTTGCCTGGATCCGCACCCTCAAGGCCGGACCAACAATCAATACTAACGATTGGGTTACAACAGTGGACGCCCTGCCCCTTCCCATGACGGTCTACAAAGTAGAAAGGGTAGGGGCCACCGAAGCCAATCTACTTGCATACTGTCCAGCGAATCCAGGTGAGCGATGGTCCAAACTGCAAAGAGTTGAAGACCAGGACAAGGTCTGCTCGCTCCCCCCGCTCATCAGGATGAAGGTGGTGGATGATCCTAAGGTCTCTTCCTGTATGAACCCTCCACCCCCCTCCTCCTACTGCCGTTCGACCTGACAGAATGGGATTGGAGAGGGCGGGACTTACACCCTATGCCCTTTTGGCAATACACCGTTAAAAACAGATATAGGAGGGGCCGTAAACATGTCCAGGTCATGGACTGTATTATCAGGAGATGGGAGAGAGACTCCCCCCTGACAAGACAGGACCTTCAAGACCTTAAATGGTCTTATTATGCAAGTATCAAACCGACAAACCATAGAGCCCTGCAGTGGCAGATTATCCATAGATGTTTGCCAACACCGGACTGGCTAACAGTGAGAACTGACCTTGAGGAGAAGGGGGTGCTCTCCCCTATATGCACATACTGTACCCACTCCCTCCCTCGGAAGAGGGCCACACTCGAGCACTGTTTGCTCGAGTGCCCGATGGTCTCCCAGCTATGGAGCTGGTGGGATGCCGCTTGGCACTACCTGACGGACGAGCACCTGCCCTGGAATATCCGCACACTATTGCTGGGCGACCTTGCCCACAGCGGAAAGGCATGGTCACCCTTCATGGCCAATCTCTTCTCCTACACCAGACTGACAGTCCTCATGCAGGCCTGGAGAATGCAATGCTCGTACCAAAGGAACCAACACACGTTCGGAGTCATGCAGGCACGAATAGCAGTAATAGACATCATCACAACCAACACTCAGCACGCCCATAACGAACTGCGGGAAATGCTAAAGAAAGAATCGGATGCAGTTAAAAAACAGGACTTGATTGACAACTTCAATCGCACATGGACGGACAAAAGAAACTGGCTATGCAGCCTGGACCACAATGCTCACCTGCAATGGCAACCTTGGTCAACAACAGAGAGACAGTGGGAACGCTTACCACAAACTCACTTTCGGGTGGACCATCTACCGACAAACTTCATCCTTGTATCCAATGAGAGCCCAGGTGAACACCCCACTTAGCCCCCGTCTCTGTTCTTACATACGCCTTCAATCCGCCTCACCCGCCCCTGTGACTCCCTGACCACCCAGCCAAGCCGATCATGCCCATCATGCCCATCTCGCACCCCCCGTACACACCACCCTCTCCCCCCCTTCTGCCGGTCAAGGACGGGTCTCCCAGGCCATACTATCAGGAAAGGCAGGGTCAAGAGAAAGGAACTTCGTCAGCAGGAGAGCGAAAGCTGAGCAATCACTTACCTTAGACAGCCAAACATGCCAGCAGCTCAGGCAACTATGTTTTCGACCTGCATAACTCTATAGAACATATACAGGCATAGACACATCAGCATGTGGCATCAAATACATAAATATTAATGGATAGTAAAGGGGGCTGCTGAATAGGGCTGGGTTAATAGATAATGGGAGCTCCAAGATTGGGAGGGGGGATACTAGCAGCCCCATGGGACAATGGAGTCCCGCTCTAGCAAGACAAATAACCACAGCCCCAGGTAACAATGAGGAGGTTGCGCAGAATACAGCAGAATACAGCACACCTCCCCCACATGCATACTAAGCCTTCCACAATTTTAATGGTTTCAGAGCTGACAGGGTTCACACTGTAAACTACATTACAATCGATAGTTAGTACGGATTACCAGTAGAATCGGTGATCACCTTTCGTGTTAGCATCCATGATATTAGTTTATACTATCACTTACCCTAAACAGCCAAACATGCCAGCAGCTCAGGCAACTATGTTCTTCGACCTGCATAACTCTATAGAACATACACAGGCATAGACATCTCAAGAGCTGACAGGGTTCACACTGTAAACTACATCACAATTGATAGTTAGTACAGATTACAGGCTTACTAACCTCTCACGAGCCTATTGTTCTCGTACTTGACATGCATTGGTCCACACTAAACTGTATAATTGCATCTTAAATGTACTTCACAGGGACACTGGACCCGATTTCCAGCAGGTGTTGCTCCCCACTAATAGATGGAGCCATCCCGACACTGCTAGTGGTGTCTGATCATATCAGCACCCCTAACAGATGTTCGGGCTGTTTCTTAAAAAACAAGGGAAAAAAAAAAAA